GGAGGTTTAGCAGTTAATCCAGATAAAATGTGTCTTCTGCAAAAATCAATAGATGTAGACCTTTAAGCACCTACAGAGTTTGTGAGGCTATTGTCAGCTCTACACGTGGTTCACACTTTAGTGATCCAACCTGCTTGGGTAGCCATCGTGGCAGGGTGAGAACCAGATACAGCTTCCCCACTCTTGGCCCTTGGAGACTGTGGGCTGTTCCTGTCTCCACGGTGTATAAGATGTGGCCGTGTCATCACAGAAGCTATTTCCAGGGTAGCTGGAATTTAGATTTTTTTTTAAGGGAATAAGGAATGAAATTTCAAGTGAAAGGTACTTTACATATTATTTTGCATGGAGTCAGGCTCTCCATAATAGTAGCTGTTACTAGTGCCAAGTTCACATTCTTTGATACACACCCTGGTCTAATCTTTTTCTTGAAAGAAGCCTTTGTGCCTTACACAGTGCTTTCCTAAAGATTTTTTTTTTGTAGTACAATTTTTTAGAAGGCACTAGATCTTGGATTTCTAATTGGAGCTAAATTGAATGGCCTCTTCCACAAATCTGGAGAAACAGTAGGCTGGTTTTTGTACTGGTCAGATCGTTGGCTTGGAGTCTGGCGTGAATATAAGGAGTTAGCCTTCCTGCTCCCACCACCAGACCTTACTTGCACTCTATTTGCACAACTAGTTTGAGTCTCAGTTTTCATTTGGGATGGGCTCAGGATGTGTCTAGAGCCTCCTAGGAGCCACAATGCTGAGTGTTCTAATATTCCAGAGATTGGGAGAAGAGATTTATTGGGTATTAGGTAATCCCCTGGGATCTTATTCAGACCCATATTCAGGGGTCTCCAGATTCATCTCAGACACTGAAGAAGCACATTTTGAGTAGTTTGGCTCCAAGAGGGCAAGGATTTTGTCCACTGTGTTTGCTGTGGTGCAGAACCTTCTAGGCACAGACTTCACACTTAATAAATGACCAAATGAGTAAATAAGTGAATTCAGCAGGGGTTTTCAGTGGTAAGCATTTATTTCCACGCAGCCATCTTTGACCTAATATGTCCCTTTCGGGGTGCCATAATCCTCTCTCTCACTCTCCAAGAAACCAGAATTCTTCATGGGTTTTTGTTGTTGTTGTTTTTGCTTTTTTCAGACAGTGTTTTCCGAAGTGTTTTTTAAACAGTTGTATGGAGGGACAGTTTACATATGAAAAAGTTCACCCGTTCAAAGTGCATAATTCAATGGTTTTTAGTGTATTTACAGAGTTGTGCAACCATCACCCCAATCTAATTGGTGCAGGAAACACAGAACACTGGATGGAGCTTGCTGCCAGAAAGACCCAGGTTCAGATCCTTGTTGTGGACACTGACAAGCTGGATAATCTTGGGGCAAATTTCTTAGATTCTTGGCGCTTTTGTTTTTCCTAGCTATGAGATGATCTGTCACTCTTACACGTGTTGTGAGAAATAAATAAGTCATGATATATGAAGCCTGGGGCGTGGAGCATGGCACAGAGCAGACATGTGGCAAGCCTGCTTTCCCTCCTCTCTGTGACCCCTGTGCCCTTCAGCTACTGGACCACACAGGATGGTGGGCAGGGACAGAGATGGCTCTGACCTGGGATACTCCTGAACTCCCTTCTCCCACCTCAAAAGCACAGAGACAGGATCCTAAGGGAACAGTGCCTCTCGTTCCACAACCTGCCTGCCAACCTCTGGGTCCCACCAGCTCCGGCCAAGGTATCAACCACGATGCCCCACTGTCTACCAATCAGTGTTCCCTGCTTATTCTGACCTGTCGCTCCGAAAACCTCCGCACACACCCTCATTGGACTTCAATAAGTCACAGTGGTTTTTTTTGGTCTTCAGTGGTTTCTTCTCCCAGTATTGCCATTTTGGAGGGTTCTCAAGTCTACACAATTTTCTTGGCAATCGTAAAATATTAAGGTTGGAAGAAACCCTAGAGATAATCCAGGTAAATTCTTTTAACAGTTGAAGAGACCAAAGGTCAGAGAAGTGGTTGGTTGGTTGGTTGTTAGCAGGTCAAGATTAGGACACTGTCAACATATAATGGACATCTGTGGGGGGCGGGACGCCGTTGGGTATGTTCTGTTGACTCCGCTGACCCAGGAACTGGATTGAAATCTGAAGGTTGAGTTCAGACATGGACCCCACTGTCTACTCTGCTTTATCTTACAAAACAAGGCTAAACCTGTAGCCGTCGGTGTTCAAGCTTCAGGAATGAGATGAGAAGCCTTGCAGAGTGGACCACGCTAGGTGGTTATAACGTTTATGTAGTCGACGCTGTTTGGAGAAAGGGAAAATGACAGCTTCCATTGTGATGAGTATCTGCACGTTTGGTCTGAATCTTGTCATTCATGCGGGTTTCCCCCTTCCAAGGGCAGAGAGCTGACATTTTCCAGGCTTCCGAGGGCTCTAGACTCTGGGGGATTGATTTGTTCCCTGAAGTTACCCTGTGGTTAATGGATGGGATGGTTAGTAGAAGGTTCTGTACTCAGCCCTGAGCATGGGGGGTGGAGGGGGTGAAGGGGAGGGAGGTGGAAACATCAGTAAAAGAGAAATAATTCCTTTACACTGATTTCTAGGTTTACATCTAAAATACCCAGGCCAGAATTTCTGGTGCGAGCCATTTAGAAACAGCTATGCTTTCTTTTAGAAAGTATGTACAGTGTAAGAGAACGTTGTCTCTTTCTCTCCCTCCTCCCTGCCTCCTCCACCCATCTCTTCCCCTTTGTGAGCAGAATGTTACATCCTCAGCATGCAGGGGGCAGTGCAGGTGATAAACTCGGACCCCGGGCCAGCAAAGGAGTCAAAACTGGTGGTTTTCTAGCCAAGGAACTGTTAAGGGTTCTAATTTAACATGAATAAAGCCTTTCAGCAGCCCCTTTCTTTCCCTAAATCAATTTGATTTTATGTAAACACTTATCTCCTTTACACTTTCATACCATTCATATAATAATAATGCCTTCACGACATTAATGTTTTCAGCAGACACACTGGGGAGAAGGGGGCGCGGGGAGGGGGGTACAGCCCACAGAATGCATTATAAGGGGCCCGGTTGTGGCAAAACTTCCCCCAAAGCAAGGAGTTTGTAGGAAAAAGCACTCGATTTGGTGTTAGTAGGGAGAAAGGTGTGAATCTCTGATGGGGCAGGGTGTGGGAGGGCAAATGTGAGCTGAGGGTGGGGGCTGTCGTCTGCAAAGAAACTCATGTGAGAAAAAGGCAAGTTTGAAGTCTTTTGTGAGAGCATCTCCAGGCGTTGTAAGTGCTGTAGGTGACTCTGCCAGGAATGCGGGCTCCCCTTCAGAAAGAAAATATTTGAATTCTGGTCAATCTGTTCTTAAATACAAACATGTCTCCTTTCCAACGCGCTCTGGCTGCTCTGGACAGACGTCCTGCTGCACTTTCAAAAGCAGAAGCAGGCTGTGAATTTGAACACTGCATAAAGCAGCAAGGAGCATTTTCTCTGTCTTCTCATCTGGAGATGTCTCGGATAAAGACCCTGGACACCTTCACGGCACAGGAAGCAATGCCTAAGCTCCCACCCCAGAAAAGATTCAGACAGAAGTGAAAAGCAGATGTTATCAAATAATGAAAAAAAAACTTTAAGCTATTATTTCCAAATTCACACCCAACCTTATTCATAGTCTGGGGTCAGGCACACTTGGCCAAATATTTTTGGCAAATCTAGAGAAAATGCTCTGAAGAGACAATTACTCCTCTCTCCTTTCATCATTTACTGCTCACCTTCCCATCAGGTTTTCTTTTTTCTTTCTTTTTTTTTTTAAGTGCTCAACACCATTAATTGGAGCACTCTTTAATTCTTTTGTGTGCTTGTTAAAGAAATAAAAATAAACAGAAGGTCACCACAAGAGCATCTCACCCACCGTTGCTTTAAAATAGAATTTTAGGGGAGCATTGTGGATTGCTACTTATTTTTGTTGGTAAATCCTGGGGAAAAATGTATATCTTTTCCTTTAAAGTTCTAATTCAAGGCATGGATGTGAGAGTTCTGAAGGGACTTTGGGACTGCGGTAAAATTTCGTTGTCATAGTAACAGAAAGGGAAGTAGGCCTAGCTCACCTGGGACTTTAACACTGCAAAAGCGGGATTTTTTTTTTTTAAGGAGAAGGACTCGGCAAGTGAAATAAATGAAAAACTTATTGTATTTTGAAACAAAATTCCAAACATTAAATAGGAAAATGGCTGAAAAGACCACTTCTGCCATTTTTCTTGGTTTGTGTACTCATCTGATCAAAGAAGCCCAATTTTAAAAGTGCACAAAAAAGGGAGGGGAATGTTAACTTAAAAATGTGTCTCACGAATGATAATCTCAGACCATTATTCTGTGCCTTTGTATTTTTCTGGATAATTTATAGAAGGTCTGAAAGGATATCCATACTTGTTATTAATCGTGAAAACCCCAGCATATATCTGCACAGACTGACTGTCTTTAGATGGTGACATATTATTTTCTGATTTTATATCCATGGGTTGGAAATCCTGGCCCTCTTTTTGTGTGAGGGTGTATGTGTGAGGTGTGTGCACACGAAGGTGTGTGTGTGTGGCCAGCGGCAAGTCACACACGTGAGGAACCCTGGGATTCTGGGCCAAGTCCTGCCATTTTTAACCCTCTGGAGCAAGGTATTTTTGTACAGAACGAGTTACTGCTGTCTGTCAAGACTTTTTTCTTTTTTAGGCGGGGAGAGCATGCCCTAGTCACTCGGGGTGGGGGGCGGGTGTACAAACCGGAACCCAGCCTGTGAGCCACAATCCTCAACAAACCTCAACAGTGATGGAGCCGACTTGGGACCGAAAACATCCAAATTTGCAAATTGCAGTGGGTCAGCCACATGCCTTCGCAGGCAGGGCTGGCTGAAATTCCCCAGACCTGAAATACAATCACTTTCCGATCCAATCTAATCTAAGGCAGATATATTCGCTCTTAAAAAATGTTTACTTACAAATGTAACACATTGCTTTCTCTTCGCAGATTCTTTTTAAAATTTTTCCTCAAGTGCAATCAGAATTGTTTGAAAACAGCAGGAAACCCAAGGGACATGAGAAGGTTTCAGGTAAGGGGCCTGCAGTTTTTTTTCCTGGTAAATAAGTCATCCTGTTTTCTCTCTCCTTAGCACTCTTTTTCCCTCTTTTCCTTAGAAAACATTATTCACTGATGCTGCGAACAATAAAAAAGATAACTTTCAATGGTAACCCTCCTTAGATGGTACTGAGGGTCCCTTCATTTTGTAGTGTTCAGGCCTTCTGTCTCCGCTGCCAGAGCCCCAGGGGAGGGGCACCAGCCCATGCTGGAGATTTGATTTTAAGCCCTCAGGCTGCCCTTCGCACACACAGCTGCCCACAGCAGGAACTGTGTTCGTGATATTCAGCCACCTTGGGATTTTTCAAAGCAGCTTCTCGGTGCTTTCTGCAAGCAACAGCCTCTTGCTTTCCTTTGCCACCGATTAACTATTCGGTGGTCTGTCCCGGAGTCTCGGGGAGAGCAGTAGCCCGGGCAGCCGTGGTCACTTTAAGATCGCGGCATGACAACAAGACCCTCGGGACAGTGACCCAGCTGCCTGGCAGTTAAATCTGCCACCGGTTTCATCACCCTTGCCACTGATGTACTGGGGATACAAGCTAATAAAAACACAGAGCGAGGCAAAGTGTGTCAGGTTGGAGATGTGAGGAACTGTAGCCCCTCCTGGCCCCCTTCCTTAATCTTTGAAGGACCCCTGTTTAATCCACCAAATGGCTTTCCTGCCATTCACTTTTCCTGCCCAATAGAAATACATCCTGCTCCTCCCTGCATGGAAAAATTGAAAAGATGTTAAAAAATAGTATGCAAGCTTGAGACTTAAAAAAAAAACCAAACAAACCCTGGCAGCCATCTGAGAGATGGCATTATTAGCCTCACGTTTCAGGTGGGGAAAGTGAGGTTCTGGAAGTTTAAGTAACTCACCTCTAAGCACAGGAAGGAGGTGGTGGAGCCGGGAGCCGGGAGGAGCTGTCTGACCAGACTCTTCCCGCTGGACCCTGGGTTTGCGGCGTGTTTGCAGCTCATGGGTCTGTGCTTTGCTCTTGCCTTTTTGGAATTCTTAATTCTTTCTTTTTTCTTTTTTTACTGGAGGTACTGGGGACTGAACCCAGGACCTCATGCATGCTAAGCATGCGCTTTAACTGAGCTATTACTCTCCCCCAATAATTTCCGAAAGAGGGGCTGCCCATATTCTTTCTACACGAGACCCCTCCCCACAAGTTATGTAGCTGCTCCTGCCTGTCACTCAGAGAGCTTCTGTGGTTTAGCAACTGAGTCATTAAAGAGTTACTAGGGGACATGGACACACACAAGGCCAGTGAGCACGACCTTGAAAAACAAAATTTCCTGTAATTTTTTCCACCACACCGTGGGTATCAAACAGTCTTGCTGTGGTCAGAACTAGTTTGTTTGTTTGTTTGTTTGTTTAACACTAACACCAGCCTTTCTTAAAAAAGTTCAGCCCCTCCTCCCCACCCTGCAGACTCTTCCCTCGGTATATGATACGAAGACAAATAGAAAAAAAATGATTTCCTTGCGGGTCAAGCAGGAACGTTGTGCACAGTGGAAGTTTGTGGTACTCAGTATTCTAAATGGAAACAAATACTTTCAGTCCAAAAAAGAGTGAAATTCAAAATCCAAAGTGCCCAGATGACCAAGGCTTAGCTTTCACATCCAAAGAAACAAGAGGCAAGGAAAGAAGCTAGCAGCTCAGAGTCATATCCATCCTTACTCTCCACCATCCCTTCCAAAGAGTTTTAAATTTGAGAAGTCACTCGTAAGAGACTTTTCGTAGAATACACGGCCATTCTGTATATCCCAAATGTTAGAAATGTACTCGCTGAGCAAATGCACCTAAAATTTCCTCTATTTTTTTTAGTTATTTACTAAGTTTTTAACATGCCTGAATTTTTAACAGGGTTAGAATAAATATTGTTGATCTCAAAATGACAAGGAATTCTCATCCTATGTGAATGTATTTGACTTCTGCAAAGACAAGGGAAACAAATCTTTTTTAAGTTTGTGGATTCTATGATTGTCTTGTTTCTGGGGGAGAGCTAAAGTCAATTGGAAAAAAATTTTTGCATTTTTTATTGAGATAAAATTCATATAACACATATTCACCATTTTAACCATTTTAAATTGTGCGATCCAGTGGCTTTTAGAATATTCACAATGTTGTCAGTCATCACCACCATGTAATTTCAGAACATTCCGTCATCCTCAGAAGAAACCCTATACTTTCCAATTCTCTTTTCTTTCCACCCACTGACAACTGCTAATCTACTTTCTGTCTCTACAGATTTGTCTATTCTGGACATTTTATATAGGTGGAATCATACAACATGTGGCCTTTGTATCTGGTTTCTTTCACTTAGCATAATGTTTTTAAGGTCCATCCATGTTGTAGCATGTATCAGTATTTCATTCCTTTCTATGGCTGTATAATATTCCATTGTGAGAATATGCCACATTTTGTTTATTCAAACATCAGTTGGTGGATACTTGAGTTGTTTCTCTTTTTTCGATTTTATAAATAATGCTGTTATGAACATTTGTGTTCAGGTTTTTCTGTGAACATGTTTTTGATTCTCTTGAGTATATACATACATACCTAAGAGTAGAATTTCTGGGTCATGTGGTAACTCCATCTTTAACTTTTTGAGGAACTGCCAAAGCATTTTCCACAGTGGCTACACTATTTTCCCTTCCCATCAGTAATGCACGAAGGTTCCAGTTTCTCCATATCTTTGCCACTGGCTTGTTTTTTTCTGTTTAAAAAGAAAAAAAATCCTAGCCATCCTGTAAGTGTGAAGTGGTATCTCATTATGGTTTTGATTTGTCTTTCCCTAATGGCTAATGATGTTGAGCATCTTTTCATGTACATTTTGGCCATTTGTATATCTTCTTTGGAGAAATTACTCAAATCCTTTGCCCATTTTCGAATTGGGGTTTTATTGTTGAGTCATAAGAGTTCTATTTTATTTGGAGTACTTATCAGATAAAGTGATTTGCAAATATTTTCTTCTCATTCTAACATTAGCTTTTCTCTTTTTTTAATTGAAGTACAGTCAATTACAACATGTCAATCTCTGGTGTACAGCACGATGTCCCAGGCATGCATATACGTACATATATCCACGCTACTGCTGAGCTATACCCTCCCCCCAAATTAATTTTTAAGAGAGCAAAAGAAAAAGAAGGAAGGAAAGAATGAAGGAAAAAAAGGAAAGGGCTCCTAAAGTATCTAAATTCATGGACCATGCAGGTAGAAAATCACTTCCACCTTCCTTGAAATGGAACCATTAGGTAGACATCCAGATTAGTAGCTCAGCGAAGGAAAGGAAAAGAAATTTATATCTAGCTTAAGCTGGCAGGCCTGTTAAGACATAATGAACCCTGTTCTTTATTTCTCTGCAGTGTGGGTGGAGAGCAGGCAGTTGGAAAATCCAAGGAAGGTCAAACCATTTTCTTGGAGGAGTCAGGCATGTTGTCATTTCCCACGTTCAAATCTTGAAACACAGTGGAAGTTGACAACGATCAGGGCGGGGCTGTTGTTGCCAGCTCACTCTCACAGATAGGCCGGCTGGGTCTGCTCCAGGTCGGAGTGAAAATGCAGGTGCCCTCACTCACTCACTCATTCACCCGACCACTGAGGAAATTCTGTGTGCCAGGCGCTATCCTAGGTGCTGGAGATTTATCAGCAATCGAAACAGATAAAATTCCTCCACCCTTGAGGGACTTACATCCTATTGGGGAGATAAGGAAAATAAGTGAGAGATTTATGTAGCTTAGCTCTGCTTCTCTGTGATCTTCAACTGAGCCGCCTGGAAGCACAGGGGCTTTTGTGCTGTCGTCCTTGGATTGTCTGCAGGGACTCAGCGGTGTGGTCCAGTACAGACAGTATGGGAGCCCAATGATTCCTGCCATTATAATAATAGCAAGCGTGGGTGCTTCCGAATAGCTTTCAGAGCTTCCCACAGCATCGGCTGTCATAGGATACTGATGTCAGCAGATGGCTTACTTGACATTGGGAAGCTTAGAAGGCTGGGTACCAGTCCCCCCCCTTCCCTTGCCCCACCTCACAAGGACTCTGTTTTAAACAGATCTGACCACTGCAGAGGACTAGGGTATCTCCCATCACATGGGTGGCACCAACCTGTGCATTCGTTGTTATGGAGTTGGCAGCAGGTGCCTTGAATGTCCAGCTATAGAATCATTTAAAATGAATTCCTTCATTCTGACTTTTGTAGCTTTCTCGTTATTGGGATAAAGATTCTTCCTGTCATTTGCTGAACTTTTCTGAGGGACTCTTGGGTGTCTCAAGTTCACCCTTTAAATTATTCCTTTTTAGATTAGGTCTACCAAAGTAATCATTTTTTAAAAATATATCTATGCGAAGGAGAGGACAGAGATACATATACAGGCCATCTTTGGCTTCAAAAGATGAGAGGTTAAGACGTGTGGCGGGGCACATACTTTTCTCGTGAAAGAAAGTCATTTCCGGGGCCAGGCAGGGAAAGACACCTGTGCTGCGCTGATTCCTGTTCGGTTGCAGGGATTTGCTCACAACCCCAGGGGGGACCCGCTGGAAGGGCCTGGAGGAGGGGAGGGGAGCGCTGGTGCTTAGCGAGGACACACCTAGCAGGTGTGACAGGCCTCTAAGGAACAGAGCAGAAAGGCATGGTGGTGGGAAGGCTCCAAGGTCTCCTCATCAGAATGGAGAAAGGAAGTTAGGTGAATGCGGACTGACGCCATCCGGGTAGTGGGATAATGTGAGCCGCCTGGAGCCTGTTACTGCACCGGGACAATGGGGACGTTCGTGTGGACGGCAGAGACACCTCGCCACACACACACAGCTGGGTGGTAGCCATCTGTCTATTTGACTAAATGATCCGAGGGCAAAGGGCAGGGCTGCTCATGTCTTGGAACAGGGCCAATCTCCATCCAACAAACCCTCACGATTTCTTAAACCCCAGCTCTGATATAAAACGTTTTAATGGCACCTCCATCTATTTTCCTTAAATAAAAAATGGT